CGAGTCGAGTCGAGTCGAGTCGAGCCGAGTCGAGTCGAATCCAAGTTGAGGTCGAGCCTGCCATGCTTCCTTCCAAAAGTCACCCACGTCCACCTCTTAGACCACCACCACCATCCCTTGGCCTCTGCCACCGAGCGCACACACACCGACCATGGGCGACGCGTTCCAGTCGCAGCCCGAGTTCTTCGAGGTGGAGCTCGGCGAGTCGCTCCTATCGCGCACAGAGACGCTCGCCTCGTTCCGCGAGCTCGGCCCCCCGGATCTCGTGCACGTCATCAAGTCCACCGGCTCGAGCGCACGCGCGCGCGACATTGGCTCGTACCACTACGTATCCGGCGTCGACGCCTCCTCGTCCGCCGCGCTGGCCGCCTACATCAACTCGCTCACCTACGAGCTCGACCAGAACCCCGGCTTCTTCTCCAGCAAGGCCGCCTACAAGCTCAAGAGCGGCGCCTACTGCTGCTTCAACGCCTTCTCGCGCGTAGACGTGCGCGTAGAGGTGCGCATCCCCGGCAGCGTAGACGCCTACGTCGTCGACCTCCGCGGAGAGCGCCACGAGACTACACCGGAAATCTGGCAGGAGGTCTACCTCTCGGCGCTCCTCCGCGCCATCCTCTACGCCGACGACGCCAACTACCGCCTGGCAGGATACCGCAAGCTCGATCCCATCTCGAGTCCAGATGCAGAACACCGCTTCCTCCAGGCCGCCGAGAACCTCTTCTTCAAAGGCTGGCAGCTCGGCTCCGACCCCGAGATCCAAGTGGCCACGGTAGTCTCCAACCACCTCACCGCAGCCATCCTCAAGTACTTTGGCGACGCATCGCGGTACGAGCAGGCGGTCAACCTGTTCGAAAAGCTGTGGGCGCGCGAACCCGAGGTCGCCGCCCTCGTCGCACGCTCGTACATCGGCATGAACCAGGAGATCAAGGCGGTCCAGGTGATGCACAGCGCCATCCGCGAAACACCGCAGTCCTATGCGCTCCTCCATGCACAGGTCGACTTCCTGCGCGCCAAGGGCAAGTTCGAGTGGGCGGCCAAGGTGGCCAAGCAGGCGGTCAACTGCGCCCCCTCGGAATTCGTCACCTGGGCCAAGCTGACCGAGTGCTACATCGACCTCGAGCAGTGGGAGTCGGCGCTCTACACGCTCAACTCCTGCCCCATGTTCACCTACAACGAGCGCGACCTCCACCGCATGCCCACCCCAGCGCGCAGCCACCTGCCCGTCAAGAGCTTCATCACCGAGTCCGGCCTCGTCGACGAGGAGAGCGCGCGCGACAACGAGGCGGACGTGGCGCTGCTCCGGCTACCCGCACCCGCGCTGCGCGGCACCTTCGCCAAGGCGTATGCGCTGCTCGGCCGCCTCGTGAGCGCCATCGGCTGGGACGAGCTGCTGCGCTTCCGCTCCAACGTCTTTGTCATGGAAGAAGAGTACCGCGCGCAAAAGGCGGCCGCGGGCACGCAGTCTGAGGATTCGGCACACGACGACGCATCGGTGCGCGGCGTGGCGCCCGCCGACTCGCCTGCACTCGCGTCGTCTACGCCGCCGCAGCCCGCAGCTGCTGCCGCTTCGAGATCGGAGGGCGCCAAGGCGGATGCTGATGCGGACGCACAAGGCTCGCGCGAGGCGAGCGACGACGAGATGGACAGCACCGAGCTGGTAGCGGCGGCGACGGGGGCGGCGGCAGCCAACAAGTCGCAGCTGGGCGTCAACGCAGGCGCGAATGCGTCGTCGCAGTCCATCCCCACCATCAAGATCTCCACCGAGTCGGACCACGAACGCGAGCAAAAGGAGCTCGAAGACTACATGAACACCATCAACCAGCCCGACGGCGGCGGCAGCGGCGGCGGTGAGGGCGAGGCGGCGCGTGCGGCGGTGCAGGTGGAGCCGCCTCCGCTCGAGAAGCCAGCACAGGCGTCGGCGGGGCACGACCGAAGCGAGTCGTCGGCGACGGCGGTGCCTGGCGACGTCTCGGGAGCGTCGGATGCCAATGGCGGTCGACGCATGGCGATCGTCAACGGCGAGCACGATGCGTCGATCGCGATGGCCGAGGCGCGGCAGAAGGAGAAGA